ATACTCCGAAAACTTTTAAAAATCTTAACAAATCTAATAAAATAAAAATACATCCACTAAAAAGAAAAGATGTGGGCCAGACAATTTGAGCATCCATTGAACGTAGCCAAATCCTGTGGACTTTCTCTTAAATTAGCAGTGAACAGTATTTTCACAGAAAACCACTAAAAACCATGGGCAGTTTTTTCTTATTTTTTCTGTCAAAAACTATCGTAAACTGGAAAAAGAAAAACCAACAACAGCTCCAAAACCAGCTGCTCCTTTTCTTATAAACCCTCCCACATTACATTTTTTCTTCTTTTTCTATCCATAATTTATCAAGATTTTCGAGTTTTCTCAACTTAATCAAGAATCTCTCTTTATAACCACATATTTACAGACAGGTCCAATTCAATCAAGACAGAATCTTTTCTTTGTTTTTTTTCATGGGCTTTTCTTGAATTTATTCATATTCATAAGAGCAATAATCATCTGGTCTACTTTTTTTGCCTATTTAAAAAATTTACATGGACCCAAACTCAATTCCCGGCGGGATTTACTCCGCCGTCCAGTCCGGCGGCATGTTGGGCCTTGAAATGTCGATCCACCAGCCACCACCGCCGCCGAGGCAAAACCCCCCAACGTCTCATCTCCTCCCCAACACACACCACCACCAGATCCTCAACTACGCCCAGCCCGACGAGAGCTACCTCCCGCCGGCCCACCAGCCCACCAAGCAGGCCCACCAATTCCCCTCCAAGCCCAAAGCCCAGACCCTCACCCTCAGCGACGACGAAGACCCGGCGTTCACGGCCGAGACTACCAGCGCCGACGACGGCCGGAAGAAAGTAGCCTCCCCGTGGCAGCGGATGAAGTGGACCGACAACATGGTCCGCCTCCTCATCATGATCGTTTTCTACATCGGCGACGAGGTCGTCTCGGAAGCCGCGGCGGCCGCAGCCGCCAACACCAACACCGCAGCAGTCGCCGCCGATAAGAAAAAGGGGGCCTTGCAGAAAAAGGGTAAATGGAAGTCGGTCTCACGCGCCATGATGGAGCGTGGCTTCTACGTGTCCCCCCAGCAGTGCGAGGACAAGTTCAACGACCTCAACAAGCGGTACAAGCGCGTCAACGACATCCTCGGAAAAGGGGTCTCTTGCCGGGTCGTCGAAAACCAGAGCCTGCTCGACTCGATGGACCACGTGTCCCCCAAGATGAAGGACGAGGTCCGAAAACTCCTCAATTCAAAGCATCTCTTCTTCCGGGAGATGTGCGCCTACCACAACAGCTGCGCCGGAGCGGGAGGCGGTGGCCCTGCAGCCGAGCCGCCGCCGCCGCCTCCTCCGGCGACTGCCGCTCAGCCCCAGAAGTGTCTGCACTCGACAAGTGGCGGCGAGAACATCAACAACAATAATAGCGTTGGCTTAGTTGTGCCTAATTTGAATAGAGCAGAGAATGAAGGGACTAAATTATCCACTAGCAGTGAGGACGACGATGATGACGTGGACGACGATGACGTGGACGATGATGGTGACGAGGACGATGATGAAAATTTGTCGGATAACAGGAGGCGGTCGTCGAGGAAGATGCCGAGGAGGGAGAACGGGTGGACCCGCCAGTTGGACTCTGAGCTGGCGAGCGTGCTGGAGGACGGTGGCAAGAGCCGGGCGGAGAAGAGGCAGGTTTTGAAAGCGAGGATGGCTCGGCTGGAGGAGGAGAGAGTGGGGATACAGACGAGGGCGTTTGAGATCGAGAAGCGGCGGCTCAAGTGGCTGAGATACAGTGGGAATAAGGAGAGGGAGATGGAGAAAGAGAGGCTGACGAACGAGCGGCTGAGGCTGGAGAACGAGCGGATGTTGCTGGTGATCAGGCAGAAGGAGCTCGACTTGCTCGAACAGCATTCGCATTTGCAGCAGCAGTATTCGTCTACTAATAGGAAGAGCGACCCGTCTTCGGTTACTGGATAAATGAATGAATGAAAGAATGAAAGTGTTTTTTGGTTTTTCGGCGGTTTCAGCTGATCTCGAGCTGCTGTTGAAGAATGAATACCTTTCTTTTAATAGGATTTTAGGAATGAAAATAGTATAAGAAGTAACACTACAAGTCTGTTTCAGTTTAGTGTTGATATAATAGAGTTCTATCAATGGGTGAAAGGTGGAAACTTTTGAGTTTAATTTTCTTGTTTCTGAACTTCTCTAATGGGGTGTCCACATGAATTTTTGCACTGTGGATCAGCACACACCCACATGGGTGTGTGTGTGTGTGTGCGTGTATAATTTCTACTTGTCCCATGACCCAGGTGATTTGGACCATATTTTGTTTGAATGGAAGTGAAAGGACATGAGACGAGACAGGATTGTGGGAGTTGTTGGGACATTCTTTGTGTACTACATTTTGCCTTTTTTTTTTTTAGCAGCCAGCCACGGTATCCGGAACTTTGTTCTGATTAATTCGTTGGTCGACCTGGGTCGCACACCTAGCAGTGGTGGGTGAGTCTCCCAACAAGGGTTTTCTGCACCTACAAGGACTCGAACATGAGATCTTGCTTAAGCAACATCAAACTGCTTACCACTTGAACCAATCTTGTTGTACTAAATTTTGCACTTTAAAAAGTGTTAAAAGAGTTGTTCGAATTTGGTTCAAAAGGAAGGATCTTTAAACGAGGTACACAGGTAGTGGAACACTTGTGTATGTTGTTTTGCCAGCCAAGTAATATTGTGTGACATCTCAACATCAAGGCCTCAAACCACTGAAACCTAAAACAAAACCAAAAAAAAAAAATAACACTGTAGAAGCTTCTTTTCTGGGTTACATACAGTACACAGTACAGAATATGTTTGAGGAGAATTATCATGGAAAAAAATAACACGCCCAGTGGGACTCGAACCCACAATCGCCTGATTAGAAGTCAGACGCCTTATCCGTTAGGCCATGGGCGCTTGATTTCACAGTAATTTCTTATGAAACCTTTGTCTCATCAGCCTTACACCAGTGCAAGTCACTGCTGTGTTCGATTGTATATGTTAAAAGTCCAAACTAATGTCTCCAACCAAAAGGCCGAGTTAAGACTCAAAAGACCCTCTTAAGACGTCCCAGTTCATTAGCCCTGGGGCCAGCTACTACAATGATTTGATGACTCGGCTTTCCCATGATCGAGTGCCACCACCTTCCCAACTGACTCATTTATTGCGTTTGTAGGCTCGGCCTAACAATGCTACAGATCACCTAAGCATTGTTAATTATCTGTACTAATATTAGTCTAAACTAATGTAGGAAGCGTAAACGAAAGGGAAAAGATACAATACGAGTAAACGAGATACTCTCTCGTAAAACTCACAAAATTCAATCAATTCTTATTATCAAATTCATCATTGAATAACAAAGAAGATATGTCTTTTAATAAGACCCAAACCCTAAAACCTATCTTGTCCACCAAGTCACTAAATATAAATAAATGTTAAATGCTAATAATAATAACAGTTTTGCTACGGAGCCATCGAATGGCTAGGCTTATAGAGTCATCCATAGTTATTCACAAATAGTGTATTGACACGTGTCCTACAATAAATACGCTTTGGACATGTGTCAATACATTAACTGATCGATGGCTCCATAAGAAAACCATCCGATGGCTCCATAGAATTTTTCATAATAATAATAATAATAATAATAATAATAATAATAATAATAATAATAATAATAATAATAATAATAATCAATACCATTCTCCCCCGGTTCGGAAGGCTTCGCCCTCGAAGCCGATGAGCTCCCGTGGCCAGCGTGTGGTGTCGGGCTCATGGTAGGAAACCCCGTCGTTTCCCCCGATCGAACACGAAGGATGAATGTCGCAACTCCATATCACCCTCTTGAAATTCATGGAAAGACATATATGAAGCAGCCACACACAGAATTTTGAAGTAGTCGTGGGGACTGTGGGGACCAAAAAATAACATTTGTTTGTAAGGTCGTAACAAATTCTCATGGGAGAAAATCTCGGGCCTGCGCAATAGAATACCAATCGAACACCAAATTCTTCCAACAGCTGAATTTCGATACCCGAAACATGATTGAATTCCTGCGGGCCCGAAGGCTCCTTATCGAAAATCGACAGACCGTCGTAGAGATTGTCCACTTCACCGGTAAGACGCTTCTTCACCTCCTCGGGCTCTTCATCAAACACCGGTGGACCATCGTACAACGGCTCGTCAACTTGCTCTTCGTCGAATTTGGGGATGTCAACGCGAAACGGGCCCTCCCATTGACCATATTCGCGATCAAGTCCCCAATCGTGTCGGGCACTGTTCATGTGCGATTTTACACCATATTCATATAGTATCTAGAGCTTAATTGTTGCATTATTGGTGTATAAATTGCATATTTGTGCTTTAATTTTATATTTGTTGGAAAGGTATTACACGTGCTTGTTTTATAGATATTTTCACATATTTGTAGAGTTTTGGCTATTGGAGGAGCATAGTGAGTGCCTGAGACTCCCGGGATAATGATAGCGGATGAAGAGAATGGAAGAAAGGAGCGAAACGAGTCGAAAATGAGCGTACAGTGGTGTGACACGACCCGTGACACGGGCTCCGAGGTCGTGTCACCACCCGTGTCATCCAAACAGAGAAGTGTAAGTGCAGAATACCTGACACGACCCGTGACACGACCTGTGACACGGGCGTGTCAGGTCGTGTCGCGACGCGGGCTGTTTTTAATCGCTTACCTTTTTCGCTTAGGAGAGGACTTTTGGACATATAAAAAGACCTATTTACCTGATCTTGAGCCCTAGAACTTGATTACGCAAGGAAGAGAGTCAGAGAACACGCAAGAGAAGCAATTGAGAAGAAGAGAAGATCGACGACAAGCTTACTAGTTTTTCTTTCTATCTTTTGAACTTGTTTTCT